ACATTAAGAAACACAACTTTGGATGGGGCCTTCAGCTGTAAAGCCACATATTCAAAAGACTGAAAACTTTCAGGAGATAGCTGCTTACATTGAAATGATTCATTAAATAAGACAGCAACCCCTCCTCCTCTCCTGCTCACCCTGGCCTCACTGATAAAACTGTAGTTAGGAGGGGTCGTCTCGATGAGAACAGCTCCACTGTTACTTTGGACCAACCAAGTTTCAGTTAAAAACATAAAATCAAGGCTGTGCTCAGTGATTAAATCTTTAATTAAAAATGTTTTCCCAGCTAAAGATCTAACATTTACTAAAGCCAACTTAAGTGTTTTAGAGTGTTTGGGAGCAGTCTGTGGCACACAAGGTATGTTTACTATATTTAAAGATCTTTTAGAGTGCTGCTCTCTGTGTTTTGACCAGGCCACATGTCTCCTTCTAATACCTAAAAGTACAGAAATTTTAAAACCTGGGTCCCAGCTTCTCCTGGGAAAAGAAGCAAAGCATTTAAAGAGCAAAGAGAGGAAGCGCCCACACTCACAAAAGGGGGAGGAGCAAGCCTAAAGTTGGGTGGCTAACACCAAACCTAACTTGATCATTTATTTATTATACTATATAACTTATTAAATAAATCACTTAAAATGCTTACCATTTGTTCCAGAAAAGAGTTCTACATAACGAAGGGAATTTGTTTTTCTTTTTCCCCATATTTCAAAGCAATGACATCACAACAATATGGCTGGTTAGTTGCAATTTTGATCCCGGACTAACATTATTATGGTGATGCAGAAACAGCCTTAACATAAGAATATCAGATACACCTACTTTTAACAGCCCCTGCTTGAAGTTTTGCCCATGTACGTGAATGATCTGTTCCTTCTGGCAGGCACACTGAGAGGCAATAGGCTGTAATGGCAATGGCATAGGGATGCTGAAGCTCCGCTAGGTGTGATAGGAGATATGATGTCGATCTCAAAATACTTGCTTCCTAGCGGCAGAATAAAGAATAAGTGAAAAAAAAATTAAAAGTTCCAATGCAAATTATTAATTGCCATTTATAAGAGAAACATCATAATGATACAAACATGTTGTACTGGGAGATATTATTATTTAAATTAAATTTTATCATTCCAACTTTTGATGACGTTCTGCTTTCTTCATTTTTCTGATCAATAGTGTTTGAAATTTGATCATAAAATAAACTTCTGTTAAGTGTATTTTTGTATTTGATGAATCATCAGAGTTATCAGGATTCATCCTCGGTGCAACTTGACTCTTAATATTTTAATTAGCTTTTGAGATGATTGACTACGTTGCCCCACTGTCACTGCTAATAACAGTTTGCACAGACAGTAGGTTCAAATATCAACTTACCACATCATTTCGCACTTCAAGCTGGAGGAATTCAAGGGACCGGTACAATGCAATAGTCATAAACGCAGTCATGGATGCATCTTGGTTTTTGCCTTTCTACATTAAACACACAGAAACAGTAGTGTGCATTCAAATGTATGTACTTCAGATTTATCTATAAAAATCTGATACTGGGTTTACATATAGGCCAACATGCAGACCATGTTCTAACTTTTGAGAGAAGTTACCAGGACTCCTCTGTGTATCACAGGATTTGGATCACTGAACGACCCATCCTGAGTATTCTGTATTTTGAGCAGGTATTTGACTGGTTTCCTGATATTTATTTCTGGCACAACTTTATTAATTCGACCCTGTAGTCCAAAAACTGCTGTTTGGCGTTGTGCCACCAATGAAAATATTTTCACTACAAGGGCAGTCACCCTGAGAACAAAAGAAGATAAACAAGTGAAAAGAGCATATGGAAAAGTTTGTTTAATAGTCGTACAGAGTAAAAATGAAGAAAATTTGTTTTTATGTGACACTGTGACAGTAACAACCAAAAAACAACAGAAATTGAAGAAGTAATAATAATAATAATAACAAATACTCACCAATTACTGCTGTGTGGCATTGTATAGAATGAACCATAAGATCCATCAGCTTTGGTTCCCCATTTTGTCATAACCCACGTATAGCCTGATTAAATATATATACAATGTATGTATATAATATTTACAACATTTCAGTTACACCAGACAACATATTCAATCAACCAGCCCAACCTAATTTTCAGTGCCACAGATCAATATTATATATATTATTTGTTATTTTTAATGGAAACTGAAGAAGAGAACATTTGAAAAAAAAAAAAAGAAGAACTGGTTGAGAACCAAAATAGTTGATTTATAGGGTTTAAAAGACAGAGTTCTTCACCTGATCCAGTAAAAGAATGCAGCACAATATTAACTGTGTTTGTGTCACATCATAAGTCTTGTTACGTAATTAATTTATTCAGTTAATAAATGTTTCAGGGGCTGTGGCAGGAAATGTCATCCAATTGCTTCACAATACCGGGTGCTAACAAGAGTATATGTAGTGGATTTTTTCCTCATGGTGCATCTATAAAAGTAAAATTCGTTCTACTTTATAAGCCTACTTTAGAGAGGAACACCTATAATAGGGAGATGTGTAGTCTCTCATTGAGTCTTGTTTACGCTGGGGGTGACATTACAAATATGTTGCTGTGACAACAGAGAAACCAATAACATAATGAAGAAAAACTTAATCCAGCTAAAAAGTACTCATTCACATTTGGAGAATGGCCACTAGTACAGCCTCATGATGTTTTCTCTGTATGTATTATTGTAGGGTCTACCTTACAATATAAAGCATCTTGAGATGTGAGGTGCATGAGATGAGGTGCTTTATAAATAAATAAAATTGAAATTGAGTTCCTTTCTTTCTTTCTTTTTTTTAAAAAAAAGTATTTTTTAAAGACATAGAATGGATTCAATAGATAAGCCAAAAATATTAGAAATTACAATTACAAACATCCTCAATAAATAATAAAGATGTAGTTATACAAGGAATTAACTGTTCTGGTGTGTACCTACCATGCTCAATTTTATTAAGAGCATCATCTCTGCTTCCAGGAGGCAGCTCAAGCCACTGATTGCTCAAGTCAAGGTACCGGACGGCTAGAACTGTGGGAGCCAGTCTTGACATTGTCTGCTCTAAACATCCAGTTGGCAAAACGATCATCTTAGCAATTTTTTCAGGAGAAAGAAGTTTTCGTGCAAATGAACTGCCAAATCCCTTCCCTGTTAGACGAGAACACTGGAAAGGTAAGAGTCCAACTATTTACGAACGTCTGTGAGTTGTATGTCTGTGTCTCTCAGTGTCTACCTTCTAGTGAAACAAATATATTGGAGCTGGAGTCAGGGACTGTGTCATCTGGTAAGGATCCATCAATGATCAAGGTCTTTGAGCTTCTCCCTATCATAACAAAAGTAAGCTGATATAAAGATAACATCTGACATGAAGGTTTTACTGAGAAATACCAAATCACTCACCATCTAAGTTAAGGACTATGGTTTCTTCTTCTTCTCTCTTTTCAAATCCTTCCATCTATAACATAAGATGCCTTGGTTTGGATTGTTAATTACTATAAAAAACATTTCATAGAACGATAAACTAATGCATTTCACTCACCTGCACATTCAAAGTTTTTTCTATTGCATCTATTCCGAAGCTATTCTCCATATCATAGAGACGTATTTTGATGGGTATTGAACCAGCGACCATGGGCACAGCAGAGAAGGAGACAAACTGAGAGGATTGTGGTTTAAGAGTAATGTTAACGTAAGATGAGGTGGTGGCTGAACCAGGAGAGCAAAGTCCTTCAGTTTGTTCCATGTGCACTGCCACCTGTGAACATGCAGGTGTCCAAGAAGACAAAAAAATCTTTACTTATTCCACACAAAGTAGTTACTTTTTCCAGTGACACTCAGCGCTGATGTTGAGGTTAATCTACCTGCAGTTCGGAGTCATCATAGTTGTAGATAACAGGTGAAACCGACAGCTGCTCAAATTTTTTCACAAATGAAGGCAGTCTCAGAGACACAAATGACCTCTTAAAGGCTCTGATCTCAAGTGGCTTAATGACACAGAAACCTGAGTGAAACACAGAATAGAAGTAAGTTGCAGTTAAGGAGCTCCTGTCAAATATCTGTGATGTGTTTATAAAGCACAGAGTTATTATTACCGGTGGATGGAGATAATGTGACAACCTGAATCTCCCATGTGGTGATGGAATCAGGAAGGAGCAATGAGTAGCTACAAGAGTTTTTGATGAAGACAAATCAAATTAAATCAAATCAATCAGACAAATGACGCAGTTTATACTGGGGTTCAAAGATAAGCTGCTTAAGTGAAATAATCACACTCACAGTATTCCCAGCAACACCAATAAAGATGAGTACATAGACATAGCTACTGCATAGTGTAATTATGCATCGAACCACTGTATTTGACTGGAAATGAAAAAAATGAAATATGTTTATTAACGTTACATTAAAAATGCTTACGTTCTTTTGTTGGTGACTTCAAATTCTACAAATTCAAAGCTTGGGGGAAAATATCTTCGAATGTATTGAGACGTGTCCAAGAAGAACTCTTCGATATCATCAGCGGTTGCAGCTGAAAACAAAACAAAACAAAAAGACAAACAAACAAAAGTTCATAGTCAAACTTTGATAACCCATTAAAAGCTACTGAAGTTGATCTTTAAAGTGTCATTTTTATCTCACTCCTGCCAAATCCTTTTTGGAGTTCTTCTTGGATCATTTTTTGTCTTAGACGCTCGGCTTCAAGGCAGCATCTTAAAAAGACTTCAGCACAAGTTGGATTTTTTTTCACTAGAAGGACCCGATCTGCTCTTTCCCGACAAGTTCGTTCCATCGGGATTCGAGAAAATCCATGAACACAACACTCTTGCAGGCTTTCTTCTGTGTAGTTCAGTTCTAAAAGGAATGAGAAAAGACAAATGATGCACTTTCAGGAGGTATTTTTGTTATAAGACTAACATTTTCAATACCACAATCCTCTTACTTAAGGTCATCATTTCCTGTTCAAGGTCCACTGAGCGTCTTTGTCGCACAGATGGTGAAGCACAGCCAAAGTCTGAATGTAACAGAAACAGTCAGCATACCTTATACATTTGCTCAACAGTAGCTTTATTTTAACTTTCAGCTTTTGTCTATTTAAAAAATCCTTGTTGCTTTTTAAGGTCAACAGGGCCCATATTACAAGAATAACACAATAGTGGTGTGTAATCAGCACTTCCTAAGACTTTTTTGAACCCATATTTTGGATGACTGTCTATTCCAGCAGACAACCATATTATTTGTTTATTTGTTATTTTAGTATTTTCATTTAAAATGTTAATTTTTCTCTTACGCCTTCTCCATACAGACAGATCATTAGATACAGCAGCCAAGCCAGCGTCTAATAGAACTGATGCTGAGTCAGGTCCTCCACCATAGGAACAACCCAGATCATATGAGTTCATAGTAGAAAATACCTGACAAATAAGAAGAAAAGCTTAGACTTACTACTATGATTACCTATAAATGACAAAAAATACCATAAGTATGAAAGTAGTGTGTGAGACTGTAACCTGTTTGGGTGTGAGTTTATTGTCAGCATTGAGAGCGTAGAAGGCCTTATCCACAGCCAGCAAAGCCACTTTTGCTCTGTTCCCATGTAGATCAAAGTTTATCTTTGATTGTGTGTTAGGTGCAAATGGACCTATGGGTTGTACCTAAATTAGGACATTTAAGATATACAAGGATTAATTTTTATATTTTCATTATTTTATGTTCAGTCAAGGAAAATTCAAATAGTACTTCTAAAACCAAAATCAAATAAATATATCAATATAGATACATGTAGACAGGGGTAAATCTAAATTTAAATATATGCTATGTTTGTACACTTCCATTAGTTAAATATTTGTATGTAATGACACTTCCTGTGTGTGTGTGTGTGTGTGTGTGTGTGTGTGTGTGTGTGTGTGTGTGTGTGTGTTGGAGTGGGGGTGTTATATATAAAAATATAAATGATCTAAATGATCATTGGAACAATTTATTAACCCCTTAAAAATAAGAGGAAATTACATAGATAACACTAATATTCATAGGACATATTACAGTGTCCTGTAATGTTCTTGTCCAAATACTTATGGAAGTTATAGGTTAACGAACAATAAAAAAGGATCCAAATTAATGAGAATGAACAGACTTAAGCGCACACATTTGAAATAGTTTTGCTTTCTCTCTCGTGCTGCACTTTTATCTGTTCTGTTTACTTACCTTGTCATTTAGCTCACATTCATCCCTGACATCTACCCACACTGAATCAGCTATGACGTGACCGTTAGTGTTGTGATAGTAGCCAATCACACGGAACGATGGAACCATATTATGTGTTATCTGCAGTCGGTGTTTAGCTGATATACCAAGTGGGAGTGAGCCGGTGTTTACTACAATTCCCCGGCTTAAGACCTGAAACAAAGACAATTAAAAAGTGTTTAATCAAGACAAAATGCTGCTCCTTTATGAGAATACACAATATTGCATTTAGTCAGATATTTCTGACCATGTAGTGTATATATCCACTGTGTGGGCTGTTGATGGTGTTGAATGTTATGGTAAGGAATTCATTCACAGAGTAGATCCTGCTGGTTAAAGTCATGTAAAGGTAGCTGTCATGTTGAGAGGAAGCACGTCGTATTATTTTTCTCTCTCGTAATCCATTTGTAGAAACCTGTTGGAGGCAGATGAACAAACAGTTAAAACTGGAATCAAATCTGTTAAACATCACCTTTGAATAAGGTTGGGGATACTAACTTCAACTGTAATATCAGCTTTATCATTAACATTAAAAGTATTGAACAGTGCCCCCTCTTGATCAGTGGTGCCTTCCCAAGGCTGTGATGTTGGTAGATTAATATTTACTGGCACACCAGCTGCTGGAGAGCCATCTGGCAGTCTCATGAGCACCTATATGAACAACAAAGAAATGTGTTATATTAAAGATCATTACAGTAATTTGTGTAACTATTCCCATGTGTTAGTTTCAGACATACCACCACGTCCAGTGGATATCCAGGAATAAAATGAGATCGAGTTCGAGAGAGGTCTATCGTGTATTTGTGGGCGAAGATTCGCAGGTAAACTTCTGCCTCTTGTATTTCACCACCTAGGCCAAAAAAATGTACACAGTATTATCAAGAAAAATAAAAGGTCGCGTTAATATTTCTCCATGTCTTTGGCACATTGCAGTGGGTTTCACTTTAGGTTTTAGTTGTATTAATATTAACTGAATTATCATTCTAGTCATATTGTAGTGTAAGTTCTGTCAATTAAATTAAATTTTCCATATAAAGTAATATATAGTGTTTGCACAGTAGGACAGTCTACTTCCACTAAGTTTCAGTAATTTAATAGTTTCATGAGATTATATTCCATCTATCCATTTTTATAACTGCTTTTGCAGTTGTAATGAAAATGGATGGGTGGAACTAGGGTTATGCAGAGACTGTACCGCTCCCAGCTGACATATAGGTGAGACAGCGGGAAATATCTGGTGGTAACAGTATAACTTCTAGAGGGTAGAAAGTTTTTAAAATCTTGTTTACATCAGAGTCTGAAATAATTTTTTCTCAAAACATAACTGCTCAAATACATTTCCAGAGGGTTACCCACATGGTGAGACTGACCTCTAAAAGGACAATGTTTGAATGATTTCAACACTGTCATATTTGCAGCTGTTGGTCTACTACTGTCCTTGTATGTTTTTTAGATGCTTTATTAATTTAATTATACCTTGCTTTACTGTGACTATTGTACATTGTAATTCCTAAACTACAGTATACTAAAGTAAAAGAGAAGCAGTATTTAGATTGGCTCGTATGTCCTGTGTATGTATCCTGTGTATAAATTGACAATGAAAAATATTTGAATCTTTCACTCTAACATATTGTATGTGTAGGGTGTACTTACCTATTTACCTATGTATGTATGCCTACAAAGAACATTACTGATCAAGTAACAACAATGAAACTACTGTTGAATAATTACAAATGGATGAATGTAAATATCTCCTTTACTTTGTATGTTGGTAACAAACACTCTTAAATAGAGTTGATCTCCATTTTCCTGCATCTTAGAGACAGTTGTGCTCAGCTGGTTCTGAAGTTTTGCATTTGTCTCATTTAACCAAAGAGAAACCTTTGCATTTCCATCTTTGACCTGCAACAAACAGTGAAGCTTTAAGAAATGCAACAATGCTGATTTACATTATGTTACTGATTTGAAAATTAGCAGAATTTTTTAATTTTGAATGGACTGTCTACATCCTCACCGAACCAGTCAGCTCTAGACCCTTGATAAAAGTGGTTTTCTGATCACCAGAGCCATCTTTTTTTACAACTCCAATTTGGCAGTGATAAGCTCCTTTAACTTTTTCACCATGTGTGTACCTAAAGAAGAAAAGCAAAGAAAGAAAGAAGGAAATATGATAGTAACATGTACACTTGAAGCATTCCTACAACTACCATATTTACAATTTTAACCGATTATCAATCAAGCAGAGGTCTTGGGTCTGGGTAATTGGTCACATAGGGTACAGATTTCCAGCTGAGCCTCGTTCAGGGCAGCTGCTGTCACCCTCAGCACATTCAGCGCAGTAGTTATTCTTGGGGCTTGGTACTCAGTCTTGAAGGTTGGGGATGATATCTCCTCCCTGACCTGACATCCTGGCTTCGCCTTTGTGTTGTACCTCATCAGTTTCTATTTGTGATAGAAGTTGCTTTAGAACGGCATGTTCTAATATCCTGTTGGGTCTCAGAGAATCCACAGGCCCCACATCCTCTTCATGTAACCCCTTCCACTGGGATTACTTGCAGCTCCCTATTCTTAATCACAAGAGACTCCACCCATCCTGCATCTCACCTGTTTGACCTACTGTCCTCTGGGAGGCGCTACAGGTCAATCCAAACCAGTACCAACAGACTCAGGAATGGTTTCTATCCACAAGCGATCTCCATACTGACCACATACACACAACCCAAACTCAAACATCAGCAACTGTCACAAGCATACAACACACACACAGCAACACACACAAGACAACGTGCAATATTACAGAACTAACTTTTAAAATGTTCATATTTTGTTTTTTTAGATTTGTTTTTATTGTATTTATTCATACATGCTACAACGGGGAGGTGTTTCTAATTTCGCTGAACATCCTATGTTTAATGACAGGATATGGGATCTGACTATTTTCAAGGTTTTTCTTGATATTAATTTGTAAAGAAAGCTTATCAGCAGAGTTATTTTAACGGAAAGAAAATAAGTACTTACATTGCTGAGATGGTGAATTGAAGCTCTTCATCAGTCAACAAAATGTATCTCTGATCCATTGCGATGTTCACATCAAAGCTTGGTAAAACTAGAGTTTTTTAACAATAAACAATTTTTCCGAGTCAAAAGATACTTTCAGTGAATTTTAAGAACAATATAAACTGTGTGAATCAGTTTATAGTAAACTTACTAAATTTCTGAACTTTAAACTCTCTGAAGGCAGCATTTGCTTCATCACCCTCATAGTGTGCAGTAATCTTCCACGTACCCGTTCTTTACGAACAACAAAATATAGTTGTAAGCGTCAACGTTGCTTGACATCTTCACTTTTATTCGAAATTTGTTGTAACCTACCGAGAGATTTCAGGTATGGGGAATGAGTCTTTATGTACTCCTCCCTTTGCAATCTTCATGATTTTCAGTATTTTATTTCCAGCAGCATTCTGTCATAGAGTGACCAAAACACAGACCAAGACAAGAAGGCAGGAAAACTGTATGTCTCTGTCTTTCAAAGTTATATTTCCAAAGATATATTTATAAAGAAAATATATAATATTAATAATTATAACTCACAATTACTGATATGTGGACAGGTTTCTCATGAGGCCTCATCGTGTGGTCAAGAGTGAAGATTCTGTACTTCACTAAAAGAACGATAACATAAAAGGAATATAAAATGTCTTTTTTTTTTTTAAAAGGTTCACCATTAGATAAAGTCTGTAGAATTGCTTCATTTTTTTTAAACTTTGTTTTTACCTCTGTCTGCTGGGTTATAAATTGGCTGAGCTGTCTGAATGAAGATGTAGCCTCTGTGTTTTGACACCAGAACCCTTGTTAACTTCCTGTTGGGTGTGAAGGATTGGCTCTCTGCCACGAGCATAACGTAAGAAGGAATTTGAGGCAATCTTAACAAATAATCCATGTTTAGCTGTAAAGATGTCAATTATAAAGTTAGGGCAAAGTGGGTAGTTGCTAGGCAACTGTTGTTGTGATTTGGTGCTATATAAATAAAATTGAAATGCCTGTATTGTTTACTTTCTGGTGAAGTTTGCATACCTTGAGCTCAACTAGTTCTGTCTTCTCTCTGCATGAAGCATTTCCCTTCTCAGACAAAATAGTATTAGAAGTCTCATCCTCCAGGTAGAGACTAACAGGTCTGTTACAAGTTTCCATCTGGACAAATACTTTCTCATTAACACCCACGTGAAAGACATTTGGGGCTGAGATGATGAATCTGCACACAAAAATGAAAGATAGTGTTTGCTGCATCGTTCATTAGTCTACTTCCCATTAAATGATTTTTCGATAACTATGCAATCTGCAGTGCTGCATGTTCAGTATTATCTATAACATGAACTCAAGTTGAGTCTTAGGAAAGATATATGGGAATACTAATACATGTAATTTATTTAATCTATAATGTCAATCTTCTATATAACAATCATAAATGAGTCAACATCGCATTAAAACATCACATTTAGTTCTTCCTAAATTTACCTGTTTTGTGCTGAACACTCCACGATCCATATTAGGAGCTGTATCAAAAAAACGTGGCACCTCATCGCGCAGCTTTGCCTGCTTTGCCGCTTTGCCTGCTTTGACACAGACTTTAGATTAACTGAGGTTTTGTTAGACATCCACCCCTGTATTTCACAACATTTGGATCTTATCAGTGCCCTCCCCCTGGTTTGTTTTTCCAGCTTGAGCTGAAAAACCATTTATTGCATCTTAAAGTGATAAAACTACATGTGTAGACACTCAAGACATAATATGATAACAGTTTAATACTACTAGATGTAGCATGTGTCCTAATGTGCGCATATGTGTAACGTACATGTGATTTCCATAGTGTGAACATTTTGGTGTTAAAAATATACTTAATCT